AGTTCAAGAAAGTAGTGTTTTTTTTTTTTTTTAAGAAAGTAGTGTTTTTAAGTGGGTGACTGAAAAAAAACAAAACAAACGGATGTTTCTCTACACTCACACAATGTTTCTGACACTTTTTCCACACCAAGCAATTCTCCAATTCTGTGGACACCAACTGATTTGTCCCACTATTTAATTCAATTCTGACACTATCCACTTTGATTTAGCGTCAGATCCCTCGAGTTAAGGGCTCTGTCCTACAAAACTGCCCCCACTTCAGAAGCCAATTGCAAGACTGGGCCTCCAGCTATAAGGTTCCCATAATCTCCTCCTTGGGTTTCATAATTTGCAAGAATAGCTTACAGAACGCAAGGAAACATTTTACTTATGTTTATTAGTTTATTATACAGGATTAAGATAAACAGTCAGATGAAGAGGTACCCTAGGGTGAAGTCCAGAAGGGTCCCCATGTTTCACCAAATTGGAAAAGGAGCTCAGGAGCTTCTGTCCCCATGGTTCAATAAAATGGAGACTCATTAAATGGATAGTTTTTATAGAGCTTAATCTCTAGCCCCTCCTCCTCACTTCCCAGAGATCAGTGGGTGGGGCTGAAAGTTCTAACTCTATAATCACTTGGTCTTTCTGGTGACTTGGCCCCATTGAGGCTATCTAGGGGCTTTACCCTAAGTCACCTCAGTAGTATAAACCTAGGGGCTCATTATGAATAACAAAAGACACTAATGTCACTTTGAAATTCCAAAAGTTTTAGGAATTCTGTGGCAGAAACCAGGGACAAATGACAAATATATTTCTCATACCATGTGACAAAGAGTTAGAACCCTTGTACATCATCTCTTTAAAGTTTTGTTTTTGCTTTTGATTTTATTTAGTACTTAAGACAGCTAGCTCTCTTAAGGGAAAAAATATTCTTAAGGAACCTTACTTTGTTTTAGGTTATGATATGACAGTTAGGGATTTATTTATTTATTTTTTAGAGAGGCAGGGTCTTTGCTCTGTTGCCCAGGCTAAAGCGCAGTGGCACCATCATAACTCACTGCAGCCTTTCACTCCTAGGATCAACTGATCCTCCTGCCTTGGCCTCTGAAGTAGCTGGGACTTATAAGCATGTGCTATTTATTTATTATTTTAGAAATGGGGTCTTGCTATGTTGCCCAGGCTGGTCTCAAACTCCTGAATTAGAGATCTACTTATCCTACTAGAAAGCCTGATGTGATCTCTAAAGTTAAATAGTGCCCAGTATATTGAATCTTGGCATTGACAACCTTGCTTTCATCAATAAAGAATTATAAACAATCAAAATAAAAATTGCTTTGAATTGGTAAATTTATAGGACTCTTTGTTTCTTCCAGTTCTATAGGTATATGAGCACTTTATTTCAGGGGATCAAATTTCAACATGAGATTTGGTGGGAACAGACAAATCATATACAAACCATAGCAGGTACATATTGGACAGTGTAGATACTGAACATTTCCATAGTTGCAGAAAGTTCCATGGCACTAGATAGATCACATTGTCACCAATTTCTCCAGTATATACATTTCTATTATTTGCAAGTATCCTCCTCTTCTCTGAAAAAAAAATTATTTTGCTTATCAGAAGCCTGTGATTTTTTTCCCCTACTGAATAATATTCCCTAAATAATAAATAAAAGAAATGTTAGTATTTGAAATGATTAGGTAGAAGCAAGTTTGGATTTTATAATAAAGATTTTATTAAACCTTAAAAATATACACCGAAATGTGTTTTTTTTTTGTTTGTTTGTTTTTTTGAGACAGAGTCTCGCTTTGTAGCCTAGGCTAGAGTGAGTGCTGTGGCGTCAGCCTAGCTCACAGCAACCTCAAACTCCTGGGCTCAAGCGATCCTTCTGTCTCAGCCTCCCAAGTAGCTGGGACTACAGGCATGTGCCACCATGCCCGGCTACTTTTTTTCTATATATATTAGTTGGCCAATTAGTTTCTTTCTATTTATAGTAGAGACGGGTCTCGCTCTTGCTCAGGCTGGTTTTGAACTCCTGACCTTGAGCAATCCGCCCGCCTCGGCCTCCCAGAGAGCTAGGATTACAGGCGTGAGCCACCATGCCCGGCCCCCGAAATATGTTTAACAAGAGAATGATAGAGGCAGTCCTTAACTTTTCCATGTCCATGTCCATAATCCAAGATTACAACATGGAAACAACCTACAAATACCATATGATTTATGAGATTATTTTTCATATGTAAACTTTGAAAATAACTTTTTAATTATATAACCACACCTTGAGAAGAGCATAGAACACAGAAAAAAGTCAAACTGATACATAAATGAATGATTAAATATTTTAGTAACTATTACTTTAAATGGATTTCAGAGTTAATCATTTATTGCCATGTTCAGATTGAGTTATGTGAGAAAAAACAGGTATTCTATTCATTTATTTCTTTGAATTTTTTTACTGAGGTAGATAGGGATAATATTCTTTTTTTTTTCTTTAATTTTAATTTTTTTTTCCCAAACAAAAATCTAAAGGTAGGGATAATATTCTTACTTTGTAGGCATATGGTGTTGTCAAGTAAAGGTTAAGACTTGAATATGCTAAAATTGATTACATGAAGAACCACTTTCTCTATTTGGGGACAGAATATAAGGAAAAATAAAGATAATACATGCTAATTGCTGGAAAATACAGGATGAATATCAAGACATAGAATTCGTTTCCCACATTGGTAAGTGGGTAACTTTTGTGGATGTTTTCTCAGGGTAATATAGTTGAGGTTTTCTCTCTGTGTATTTACTAAAATGTTGACTTGTAGACAAAAGCACAAAACCACTATATTAGATGAATTATGTTTTCATAAAATGTAACTTTACTTTTTATATGTGTAATTTGAATGCATTTCCTGGTTTTGAAATGATTTTAAAGAATTACCTTTTGCTTGTAAAAACCATTTAGGATTTTTATGAGAAGCATTCAGATTTGTCTGGCTTTATCCTCTAGTGTCATTTTAATTTCACGTATTTTTTTCCTTCATGCAATTGCAAGTACCCAGTAAGTCATGTAAAAATTGCTACCACGAGGAACAAATGCCTTTACTAGTTTTGTATGCTGTGAACTTTACTAGTTTTGTATGCTGTGAGCTTTACTAGTTTTGTATGCTGTGAACTTTAGGGCTTTGAGTAAAGCATACATTTTTAAACTATAGACCTAGTCTTAATTATCTTATAATTTTTCCAATTAATCAAAAGTAAAATGGAACATTTACTTTTATCTTTTTCATTCAGTTTTTTTTGTTGCTTGTTTTTTTGCACTTTGTTGCACAGGCTGAAGTGAGTGCCATGGCATCAGCCTAGCTCACAGCAACCTCAAACTCCTGAGCTCAAGTAATCCTTCTGCCTCAGCCTTCCGAGTAGCTAGGACTACAAGCATGTGCCACCATGCCCAGCTAAGTTTTTCTATGTATTTTTAGTTGGCCAATTAATTTCTTTCTATTTTTAGTAGAGACGGGTCTTGCTCAGGCTGGTCTCGAAATCCTGAGCTCAAAAGATCCACCCGCCTTGGCCTCTCAGAGTGCTAAGATTACAGGTGTGAGCCACTGCGCCCGGCCTTTTTTTTATTCAGTGTTGAGTATTGTTTGAATGTGACTATTTATAAACTTTTTAATACCTTTTTTGCATTGTAGAGTTTTGTAGAAAACGCAGTCATTTCCTTCACAAGACCTCTTATATTGACTCTTTTACCTCACAAGACTTTTTTTTTGTTTTGATTAAAGTTGACAGCATAATGCTGGGCAAGTCGTTCCTTAAAGGTATTTCTTTAGATATAGAAAGTAATGTGTTTCATTTATGTAGCCATCTTCTGATCTGATTTGGTGCAGTAGGGGTGGGAGAGTTGAGTTTAGAGAGAGCACGTTTCCAGTCTTAATCTTCTTTTACCCCTCTATACATCATTTAAAGCTGGTCAACACATTCTGCTCCTTGGAAATCTTTCCTCATGTGCCTTTAACCAGTGTATTTCTATTTCTCCTACTTCTTGAACTTAAACAAAACAAAAAACCCTACAATGCCATTTCTCCTATTTCCCGTGAGTGTTATATATAAGGTATCTGCTGAATTCTGCTGGATAGTCTCGTTTTCTCTATATTCCCTTGGTGAACTCATCCACAGTCTTGGCTTGAACTGTACTTTTAAATAACTGATTTTCAAATCTTGAACTATACTAAATTTCTGCCTGTAAGAATTATCTCTTTCCTGCTTCTTTGAAGAAATTGTTATTAGAATCTAATAAAATAACACATGAAAGCTCTTTATGAACCTTAAAACACTGCAACAGTGTGTTACTTTTTAACAGTAAACATTTAAGAGCTCATCTTAAATTAGGCCTTGTTAATAAAGAAGTTTCCAAAAGTTTAGATTTCATAGGAATAAATTTGAAGCCATTTATAGCTTACAAAATAATTTAACTTATACTTCCCTTGGGTTTATATTTTATACTAGATTATTTCCAATGGTATTTTCAATCTTTGAAAGCTTTGTCACTAATCATAAAGGCTAGCATGTGGAAGTTTCTCCTATATTAAATAGACAACATTTTGGCTCTAAGCTGAACTGCTAATCATAGAGAGAAAAGTATTTATAAACAATATCTAACTACCTTCAGCTTGTGACATATTTAAGATACTGTGATTCTCTTCTTAGTAAATATTTGAAAACAAATAAAATTTGTAACCCAAATGTCTTATAGTTTATTTTTTAATATATTATGTTAGCCCCAGGGTGTTGCTGATTTTATACTAAAACATAACCTGCCATACTATAATAAATAACAATCTATAAATAAACTTTAGGCATTTTATGCTTGCTTATATAATGATAATTGTATGTTACTGGGTAATTTAGATTAATTTAAATAAGACTTATGGCATTAGGAAAGACAAAAATTCTGAACAAACGTTTTAGTTTCTGAAATTTCTTACTCAAGTATGATTCAGCTGATTGCTGATTCTGTTTTCCTATTGCAGGTTTCTCAACAGTGATGTCACAAGATTGACCACGTTGATCACAGTAAGACCAAAATGATAGTTAAGCTTTTAATGATGTTTCATTTTCTCTGAGAATGAGAAATGAATTAGAAAATATTTAAAATTTAAAATTATTATTTATCTAACCAGCTAGTTAAATGTTTACATTTTCAGTAAATCACATCTCCTACATCTAGTTATTTAAATATTTTTAAGATATTGCTTTAAAGAATTAAAAAAAACATTTAAAATGAAAATTACTTTTAATTCATAACTGAAATGATAGGCCTAATTATACTAACATATTTCAGTGTGAATTATACCCTGAATATCATCATCCTTTTTTAATTTTTGTTTTTACCTAAGAGTGGCAAAATATGTAAGGTGGCTTTATATTAGGAAAAAAAATAAAATAAAATTACTTGAATCTGTAATGAATTATTAAGGAAAGATTATGACAACATAGCCTTGATAGCATTCTTAGGCATCTTGCTTAAGATATTTAGATGATTTATAAAGAGTCTTCCAAATATGGAGACTTGTTTGAAAAAGGATAGTTTTCTTAAAGTGTTAATTTCTGTTGTGTATAAGGCAATATGTTACCTAAAGAAAAAGTTGTCCTACGCCTTTATCCACATTATTATAAAATTCTGAATAGTAAAATCTGAATTATAGTCGTGAGATTTGCAGCATTTTTGGAAAATCTTCTTAAACAACATGTAAATAAATTTTGAGCAAATTATTTACTCTGTGAACCTGCTTCTTTAACCCTGTTTTAATTGTTCATTAAGTATATGACCAATAATTATCAGAGATATAAATCCACAAATAGATGATTTTTGTATTTATGTTCAAATATTTATTTTGAAAACTGCTTTATTTGTTGAGTTTAACATTTTTCAGAGGCTAGAGAAAACTTTTATTGTATTAAATATTTTTAAAGGCTTCATCATCATCATTTAGTCTACTGATGTTTATGGCATGTCATTCATTTTCCTGAGGGGACATTTTAGCTTTCTCTGATTTGTAGTTCTTGTTTGTTTTTTCTGAATCAGAATTTTATAATTTATAAATTATATATTTAAAATTTATTAAATTTTATAAATTTATAATTTATAATTATTCTCTAACTGAATAATTTTTAACAAATATTAACAAATTTCTTTAGTAACCTTCTATTTAACATCTGGTGCTTTATAATTTAGGAAGTTAAACTAAACATTGGATAAAAAAGCTTTTTTTGTTTTTTTAATTTAAAAATGCTAACTCTCACAGTTTATTTTTAGGGTAGTATTAACTGCACATTTAACTGCAACTGATTTAAATCCAAGAATTTCAAGAAGAGGGGTGATATTCAATGTTATCAGATGATAAATAAGTTAAAGACTAAGAATTGTTCATTTGAGAGGTTCATTAGTGACTGATACTAGAAACCGTTTATTTCTAATGACTTTGTTAGGGTTGTGAGGCTTTCTCCACCCCCTTGAGTTAAGAAGTGAGGGTAGATTTCATCATTAATTCAGGTAGAGGGTGCCAGTGAAAGAATAGTTCAAGTACATACTGGTTGTGGGATTGGAATAAAGTTAGGCCAGGAAAGGGTGATGTATTTAAAGAAAGTGGAGAGATCAATGGACTTGTCGGATATATAAATTGGTGTAATGAGATGACATGGTAAGAGCCAAAAGAATAGAATGTTGTGATTAGAGAGGGAGATTATATTATGGATTGTTTCAGAGGTGAAGCATAGCAGGTATTTATATGTTATGTAATATACACGTTATATTTTTTTTTCTCAAAAATTTTTGGAAGTCCAGAGGATTTGTATTCTTTCCCACTGTGTCACAATCAGCAGAAATGTCAAAACCTTTTAACTGATCTCCCTCTCCCTTCGTTCTGGCCATTATCGTTTCCACTGAAACTTGTCCTGGATCCCCAGTTTATTCTGATTAAAGCACTACTCTGTTCCTTTTATTTTTCTACTTGAAGATGTTTGGTGGCTTCCCATTTCCTTAAAGATCAAATCCACACTCTCATTTCCTTTTAGATCAAATCCAGATTTTCTAATTTAGCATTCAAGATCCCTCCTCAGTTTGGCTTCAACATAACCATATGCTCTACTCAATGTGGACTACATCCCCCACCTTGAATATACATTTTGATTCCATACTTACATTTATATCATTCCTTTTACCTAGAATGCTCTTTTTCCTTTTCACACTTCTAAAAAATTTCTTCCAAAGCTCCTCTGTAATGCTTTGTCCACATATAATCATCTCTGTGAGGCTTTGCCTAATAATCCTAATTGAAAGAAATTCTCTTTCCCTAATAATTTGGTAATACTTAATTTTTATTACTCCTGTGTTACTGATAACATATATTTTCTTGTATTTTGGATATTTGCTTTAATATACATCTTCTTAACTGTACTCAGCAAGTATTTTTTGGTAATCGTAAATACCTCAGAAAGTGCTAAATTAATTAGTATTTTTAGTTTTCTTATGTTCAAATTGAAATAAGTATGTTAATACATGAGTATTCATAACTGAACAATAGGAAACAAGGTAGATAGGAAAGAACATAAGTTTTAGAACCATTAGGGTTCAAGTACTGATGTCACTGTGACATCAGTTATGTGACTCTCAGCAAGTCAGCCTCTTTGTACCTCAATATCTTCATCTATAAAATGATGCATTACCTATATTTAAAATGATCATCATTAGATTTAAATACAATGTTGGTTAACCTGTCTTCTTTCTTACTCATATAACTTAAGGCTTGCTCCTTTACAGATAAACCAAGGGTCATGAAATCAGCCATAAAGATCAGGGATAAATCTCAAACATCCAAATTTACTCGCTTATAAATTGTGGCCCTTTTGTCTGCAAGTTTTAATAACTGTATTTCTACTTTATATATTACATATATTAATGATAATTTTATTGACTTGTGTAAGTTTTAGCAAGGAGGCCAATTAGACCTATTGATATAAAGTCCTTTTATTTGGGGAAAAGGGGTCAGACTTAACTAGAATCCCAACATCTTAAAAGGCCAGAATGAACTTTAAAATACTTTAGATTGTACTACGTTGCCCTTATATTAATATAACAGAACAGAGAACTAAGGCCTAGAAAGTTTGAGGGGAGGTATTAGGCATAATAATTAAGAATATGGACTTGTTTAAGTCTGTGCTCTGCTATTTATATAGCTGTTGTGATCGTGAGTCAATTACTTAGTCTTTTTTTTTTTTTTTTTTTTGAGATGGAGTCTCACTCTGTTGCCCAGGCTCACTGTAACCTCAAACTCCTGGGCTCAAGCAATCCTTCTGCCTCAGCCTACCAAGTAGCTGGGACTACAGGCATGAGCCACCATGCACGGCTAATTTTTTCTATATATTTTTAGTTGGCCAATTAATTTGTTTCTTTTTTAGTAGAGACAGGGTCTTGCTCTTGCTCAGGCTGGTTTCGAACTCCTGACCTTGAGCCATCCTCCTGCCTTGGCCTCCCAGAGTGCTAGGATTATAGGCATGAGCCACCGCACCCGGCCAAATTACTTAGTCTTAAGGTCCAGTTTTTTTTCTTCTCTAAAGTAGGGATAATATTATATCTCAGGAATGTTATAAGTATTAAATGAAATAATGCTTTATATTAAATGAAATAAATGCTTTATAAGCACTTAGCGCAGAGGATGGGCTCATATTTAGGTTATTTTCTCATCATACTCATCATTATCTGTAAAGTTATTGCCTAAAATTACATAGTGTGAGAACTTGGACTCACCTGGGTTTTCATTTATACTGTCATAATTTTTATTATTCTGTGTTGTGATCATGTTCTACTTGATTAAAACTCTCTAAACAGCATTTATAGAGAGTATAATAAAATACTTTGTAGATTTTTCTTCTCAAATCTCTCAGTTCCTTTTCTTCTCTGAGGGTATTTATGTAGGTTCATTTATGTGCAGTTTTGTTTATATGTAATTTCATTACTACAATGGGTATATTTTATTTTCAAGTATTCCTATTTAATATTTTACTATATATTTAATAATCTGTTATAAGGCAACCTTTAAATAAAGTGGCCTTTTCTGTTTTCATTAAATTTCCTTTTTTTCTCCTTGGTAATTTTATTATGAATATTACTTAAATATTATAGAGAGATAAATCTCCACCAATAGAAACAATTAACTTAATCATTGTGATTTAGAAGAAATTACTATATAATCTTACATTGTACACACTGTTAGAAATATTGGTGTTGGATAATAAATTTAAAATGTCAATTAGATACCTATGCATAGGTAATATAACCAAGTATAGTAATGACTAATAGTTGTCCCCCAATATTGATTTTCTCTTCTCCTTTTTATCCCTGCTCATTGGGAATAAAAATATCATTTCCCCAGTCTCCCTTGCAGCTAGATGTAGTCATGTAACTAAGTTTTGGTTAGAGATAGGTAAGCACAAGTAGCATACACAACTTTCGGAAAGCATCCTAAAAGGGATAAATGCACACTTTCTTTTATCCCCCTTCCTCCTTGCTGGCTGAATTGTGGGCTGGATAATTGGACTATGAGTGGAAATCACATACTGAGAATAGGCAGAGCATTAAGATAGAAAGTCTCTAGTAAACATGACATCACACTGCCTGCACTGGCCTGCCTACATCTAGACTTCTTTGATGTGATAGAGTAAACTTCTATCTTGTAAAAGCCATTAGCTTTTGGGCTTTCTGTCACTCATGGTCTAAACTAATTCTGATACACCAAGACAGTTTGACAAAGAAAGTTTATGCCATTGTTAAAATGTATTTTTTTTACATTTCATTTATTTGAACTCTGCTGTCTCTTCTGATGGTTTGAGTTTTAGGAGAAGAATAGAAAAGGAAGTAATTCATTCTCTTTAGGAAAGGGGACCAGGGAATCTTTACAGAGGAGTGAGACATCTGGGTTAGATTTTAGAAGTATAAATTAGAAGAGAATCTAGGAAGAAGAAATGGGCATATAGATTTGAAAGAACATACATTCAGAGACATGCATTGTTGAAAT